GTGGTTCAGATTGTTTCCCTTCAAGGCTCTCATGCTGTTGCTCCTTCGTCCTTTTTAACATTTTAGCACATAACCCAATTGAGCAATAGTTTTAATACAGTACGATAGTGGAATGATAGTGTCTTTAGTAACTGCTTGCTTTCTGGCCACTTGGTAAGGTGATTCTGAGTTTGTCAGTTATTTATAATGCTGTTGCTGGACTACTGGCACTAAGTAGTACTACACATTTTTCCCATTTGTCACTTAATGGGCTCTCTGTTCAGCATGTTAACTAAAGAATTAGACTGTCCCCTCGGTTATGGCAGAATTTCTGTCTCAACTTAATCAATGGATATGCCTTTGTGTGCCTGAAGTACTTCAGATTTGTATATGACCAAAACCCTGTACTATTTCCAAACTAGGGATGTAAAATCCTGTTTAAAAGGTTAAGTGGCTAAACTGTATGTTTAAGTGACATGTCACACTGAGGGTCGGGAGCTGCCCTGGCTGGGTCAGGTGCCAGTTACCCCAGCAAGCATGCCCTTTACGTCCCTACCACAAACCTCATCTGAAGCCTTACACGTATATAGTCATTAGGTGCCTTGTCCTACAGTGCAGAATAAAATTGTCAGACACATGGATGAATATAATTTGTTGGAGGAAAGTCAACATGGTTTCTTTACAGGGAAATCATTAGCCAGGTCGTAACATTTCACGTGCTAGAGAATGGTGTCATTTGTTACTGGCATCTTGGAAAAATGGACCCCACCTGCCATTGAGAAGCAGCAGAAATGGAAGCTAGAGCTGGCTTAATGGCTCTTTCTTTCCCTTCACGTGTAAGTCTAGTTCGAGGCATGTGTCAGGATGGACCTTTAGCAGAATGGACAGCTTGTGCTTGTAGCTCAGACAGAGGCTTTTGCTGGTCAAGGTACCTGTGCACTCCTCCATCATAAATGATCTGGAGAAAGGGGTAAGCAGTGAGGTGGTAAAGTTTGCAGATGATACCAAACTGTTTAGGATAGTCAAGACAGAAGCAAACTGAGGGACTCCAAGAAGATCTCACCAAACTGAGCGATTGGGCAACAAAATGGCAAATGAAATTTAATGTTGATAATTTTTCCATTGTACATTACTTTACATTTATCCCAACTATATATACGATATGATGGGGATTAATTTGGCTACAATTAGTCAAGGGAGAGATCTTGGAGTCCTTGTGGATAGTTCTCTGAAAACATCCACTCAGTGTGCAGCGGCTGTCAAAAAGCAAATAGATTGTTAGGACTCATTAAAAAAAGGATAGAGAATAAGACAAAAAATATCTTATTGCCTCTTTATAAACCATGGTACGACCATGTGTATAAAACTATGGTACACCCACATCTTGAATACAGTGTACAGATGTGGTCTCCTCACCTCAAAAAAGGTATTTTGGCCTTGGAAAGGGTTCAGAAAAGGGCAACTAAAATGATTAGGGGTTTGGAACAGGTCCTATATGAGGAGAGGTTAAAACAACTGGAACTTTTCAGTTTAGAGAAGAGAAGACTGAGGGGGGGTATGATAGAGGTCTACAAAATCACGACTGGTATGGAGAAAGTGAATATGGAAAAGTTATTTACCTATTCTCACAATAAAAGATCTAGGTTTCACCAAATGAAATTAATAAGCAGTAGGTTTAAAACAAACAATAGGAAGTTTTTCTTCACTTAGCTCATAGTCAAGCTGTGGAACTCCTTGCCAGAGGATGCAGTGAAGGCTAGAACTATAACAGGTTTCAAAAAAGAGCTAGCTAGATTCATGGAGGTTCGGTCTATCAATGGCTATTAGCCAGAATTGGTAGGCATGATATCCCTAGCCTCTGCTTCTCTGGAGGTGGGTGACGGAGGAGGGATCATGTGACAATTACTTGTTGTGATCCCTCCCTCTGGGGCACCTGGTGCTGGCCACTGTCAGCAGACAGGATCCTGAGCTAGATGGACCTTTGGTCTGACCCAGTATGGCCATTCTGTTTGGGAATGAATTAAAGCTAAATGGAGGAAAAAACTGCATAGAACGCTCCAGGTTGACTTAGTGCTTTTTTTTATTTTCTATTGGGGAAACTTTTTTTTCCGTCTGTGATCTGTTATTTTCGTGAGACTAACAAGTGCTCCTCCTGGACAGTTTAAGAGGAATGCTATCAGCAGCCATAATTGTATTTTGAGTTTAAACCACCAGATGTTGTGTTTTTCCAACTTTTTCCTGTTTTAAGCTTCTAAAGGTTTTAATTAAATTCATTTTGTTCACCTTTTATGTAGTCTCTTTTTTTTCTCAGTGGAGAAGAAAGGCATTTCACTTGGGAAGTATTTGTGGAAAATCCTCATCACCACACTGTCAGTATCAGTTGTAGGGGAAGCTGGACTAACCCATTCATTGATATTGTGAATTGATAACATTGTTCTGTGCCAGAATACAAACTAGAGGCCAGTTAGGAGAAACCTAAAGCTTTTTTTAAAAATTGTGACTTTATAATCTAATTGGACTTTTTTCGTGACTGGCCACTGGTTTGTAAAATCTGTTTTGTAATTGATTCATAGATACACAAACACTGGTAATTTTTCAGTGTACTTTCTTGCCATCGTGCTAATTTGCCTTATTTTTGCTTTGTTTTGCAAAGCCAATTTAGAATTTTATTCTGAAACAAATGCTTTAAAGCCAGTGTTTTAGACAAACATTTTAATGAGTTTGTAGTAGCATACAATTTTGTAGGGAGAGAGGGGAACATGGAAGAAGAAAAATAATTTTCAGTCTTCCAAGATGTGGCTCATAGATAGGGACCTACTACATTCAGTCATGAAAAATGCATCACGGATTATGCAATCTAATCTCTCCCTGTAAACTCTAGTTTGTGTGCTTTTCTGAAGGAGGGGAAGGGTCAAGCTGGAGATGGAGGTGGCAGAGACAGTGGTTTGGGGTGGAATTATTGGTTGTGGTAGGAATAAAATTGGGGTTCATGGTATTAGTGGAACTGGGGGTTGAGGTGAGGTTGGAGTTATGAGTCATATGGGAGTGAAATTGGAGGTTGATGTGGCACAGGAATTGCCAGTCATGGTGGACACTGTGTGCTATGTCGGGAAAATCTCGCTCCCCTGGGGTACAGAGCCCCCAGATGGGTCCGAGGCTGGAGGTCAAAGCAGTGAGGCAGGAGAGAAATCTAGAAGGAAAACTTTATTATGCAGGCTGACAGCTACCAATGTGAGCAGCAGCAGTCTTGAGACAGGGATCCTTTATACAGAATGCTCAGACAGTTTAGTTGTTGATTGTTTTCCTTAACATATCAAAGTCTCAGCAGAAGTACTGAGACATTTCTGTTCACACCAGGAGTGCTAGAAGTAAGTTTTACAAAACAAAGGCACATGAGAACTTGAGTGGAGGAGTCTACAAGGCAAACTGTGACAAAGATAAGGGTTTACATGACAAATTGTGACAGACTAGGAGTCTCCATGAACTTGAGATATGAAGTTGAGATAGGAGGCATTGTAAGGGTCTTGATTAGAGTTAAGATGATTTCTCTCTGTTACAGGGAGAGAGGTCTGGAAAACTTTTAACCCTGACAGCAGTTTTCTTTTAGAGAGTTTTGATTTCCTCCAGTGTTTTCCCCCCCCCCTTAGACACAATTGGAGTTATTTGATTTTTTTCCCCCACAGCTATGCTATACAGACTTCATGTGGGAGACCAGGATTTCTCAAATGGGGGGCGGGGAGGTGTTCTACCAGGGATGTAAAAGTAGTTGATTAGTCGACTATTTGCATTTCTTCCTCCTCCCCACTCCCCCCCTACTACTTCTTGTCCAACATCAGAGGTCAAGGCGAACAATTTTTCCTCCCTCCTCCTTGTAACACCCTTTTAGGTACTTGAAAACGGCTATCATGTCCCCTCTCAATTTTCTCTTTTCCAGACTAAACAAACCCAGTTCTTTCAGTCTTCCCTCATCAGTCATGTTTTCTAGACCTTTAATCATTTTTGTTGCTCTGCTCTGTACCCTCTGCAATTTCTCCACATCTCCCAATTTTAACTCCCCATTGGGACCTCCTGGCTTCAGTCCTGGCTCAGGCCAGGTCCGGGACCAAACCCCACTGTGGCTCTGCAATTTAAAACACAGCGGGAGCTGGGGGGGCAGGCTGCCTGGCTCCTACTGCTTTTTAAATTGCAAAGATTCAGTGGGGTTTGGTCCCAGCGCAAGTCGGGACTGAGTGGAGTTACCTTCCCCTGTCGAGTAATTAGAAATTCTATTGACTACTCATTGACTAAAATTAACCTAAATTTAACATCCCTAGTCCTGACACAGAAGGGAGTTGCAGGGAAGTTGTAAGGCTGTTTTGGGGAGGGAAGAGGTTGTGGTATTGCCACCCTTACTTCTACACTGCTATCTTCAGAGCTGAGTGGCCAGAGAGTGGTAGTTCCTGACTGAGGGGCCCCTCTTTACAGGCAGCAGCACAGAGTAAAGATGGCAGTACCATACCATGCTGTCCTTACGTCTGCACTATTACTGATAGCAGCTCTGCCTTCCGAGCTGGTCAGCTGAAGTCCAGCAGCTCTTGGCTGGGAGGCAAGTTCTGAAGGCAGCATTGTTGCCAGCAGCAGGGCAGAAGTGAGGTTAGCAGTATCAAAGCGTGCTTCCCTCCCTTTTCCTCCCTTCTCCCCCTCCCCCCCCCACCTTTTTGGGTAAGGACCTCTGCAATTACAACACCATGAAACTCCAGATTGAACTAGCTGTAATCATGAAATTCATTATTTTCAAAAGCCTGTGACCAAAATTGGCAAAAAAAGGACTGAATTTGGTATAGCCCAACAGAAAAATTAACTTGAAAATATATGTATGTCCTTAGGAATCTTGAAATTAACTGGGCCTTAAACAATAAATAAAAGTGTTAATGTCATAAATATTTGTTAAAGTTTTACAATGCTGAGTTTTGTGTTAGTGTGTGTGTGTGTGTGTGTATCTGTGTTATATTTATTTAGATTAAGTGTGGTTTCTCTTTCAGGTTTTGGCCTGGTTTGAAGAAGGTGAAGAAACAATAACTGCATTTGTAGAACCTTTTGTAATCTTACTTATATTAGTAGCCAATGCAATTGTGGGTGTGTGGCAGGTAAGCAAACTTTTTTGTAATACCAAACGTCAGAAACCCTCTAAGCTCTTTATTATAAGAAGTAGATGTTTGTATAGTATGGATTTTTTTTTTAATAAATGGTATATACCTATACCAAAGAACTATATAAATTTTTAACATTAAATTACTTGGAATTAGGTGTGTAGTCAACTACCCAATAACCTAGGCATATCAGGTAGTTGAGTCGATCATTCACTTCCCCCATCCTGGCTTAATCAGAAAGTGCAGTACGTTAGAATAAAGTATTTAAATATTTTAAACATTTTATTCTGAAGTATGACCTATGATTTAAAGCCAGCATAAAAGCAGCATAGAGACATTCATCTTGCCAGTTGATGGTTACATTTCCAGTGACTGATCATTTTATTTTGAAAAAATTTAATTTCTATGTCAAGAAATACCTTGCTTTGTCTTGTCTTTGAGCCTATTTGGCTGACCAAACTGGATGCAGTTCTCTGAAATATCTAGTATGTCTTTTGATAAGTCACTGTTAATACATAATGATAAGTGTGTTCTGGTAGACTAATGGAATGAATTTGCAATATAGCACTATAATTTAAACTCAGAAAGGATACATGCTTAATAATATAATAGCTTGTCTGAAAACTGGTTCTTTACTTGTTGTATTTTTATGCAATTTGGTACTCTTCTAAAATAAAAAAAATTCCAAACCCATAAACGACTAACCCCGTACACAAAAATTGGATTTTTTGTGGGGAGGGTAGGGGGACACAAATCTGTTTCTGGTTTCATTTAAATAGAAAAATCCTCATTAAGATTAGTTGTAATTCTAATTTTAGTGTGCCTTGACAGAATAGCTGAGAGAATCCCACAAAACTACTTGCTTTCCAGTAGTTTCACTTCTTCTAAACTCCATATTACAATGGGAAAACATCAAATGTTTTGGGTGTTTGCAAACTGAATCTAAAAGAATATTAAAATACCTTGTTTCAATTAGTTGATCTGAGGACAGTGATGGTCCTTAAGTTGCCCACACCTTGTATTTTGTGTTTTAAAGCACATTGAGCTATGATGTCACTTAAAAATGGAATCTAAATTCCAAGTGACTGAAGTTTCTAATTACTTGTAAAGTAAATACTTCTGTTGGTGCTTGTAGAGCAATTAGAATATACCTGATTCAAACCCACAAAAGCTTGCAAGAAAATGGGAAAAGCAAGAAAAGTAAGAAAATGAAAAATTAAGCCGTCATCAAACAATACATAGCCTCTTTAGCACAGGAAAGCCTTACTATAACTACAGTGTACTTCTGACCACACATCACTGCCTTAACTGACTCTTTTAACCTTTTATTTTCCTAAACTACACTTTCTAAGTAGTGTTAGGTGTAGTGTTTTGTCATGGGGATAGTATAATAACAAGTGTGGTGGAATGATGGTGTCCCTAATAAGAATGTAATAGTATGGTCAATTAATCAATAAGCAAAAGTTTATAGGTTAATGCTGTAGACTACACATATTTCCCTCCCCACCCTCCCACCCCCCATGCCAGTAAATTTTTTAGCAGGCTGGCAAGCAGCTGGGCTCACCCAGGTCCGGGACCTACTTCGTATTAGGAGCTGGACAGGCAGGCAGCCCGGATTAGTTCCAGTTTGGTCCGGGAGCATAAATGCCCCTTAGACAAGGGCTGCTTTATCAGAGGCAACAGCACAGGGTGACAGCTAGCCAATCCGCCAGGGGAGTTGGTTTTAAACCTGCTCCCCTCACAGTTCCTCTGATACAGAGGCAGCTGTGCAGAGTGTCAGGGGGCTCCCCAGGAGTAGAGCCAGAACACACTGGCTGCTGGCCCCACCACCAGGAACTATAGAATAATCTACTAACTGATAAGAATTCTTGAGGTTACTCGACTATTCAATTAACTGGTATTTAACATTCCTACTTCCTGTTGGTGCAGAGTCAAGGGTGAGAGAGAGAGATGGTAGCTACAGGAATGATAAAATGTGTCCCTGTGTATAAAAACTATGTTCTGTTAGTTGTCTTTTCCTGGCTTTAGTGGTTTGAATAAGGTTTGTTCTGAATGTAGCAATCAGAACTACTTCACAACAGTTGTTTGTTGATTTCCTGGTTCTTTAATGCCTTATTTGGGCTTGGCCTTGCACAAAAATGGCATGGTAGGGTGGGTGTAGAATACAGCTGTTTACAGAGGAGGTTTTTTTGTGCTTATAGTTGATTCACCAGAACCCTTACATGACAAGAATTTGCATGTAAATTCTTTGAACACTAGTTGTGCCTAAATGTTTGCTTAGAATGAGTTGCCAGAAATCACCTTAAATTAGGACTGGCTGAAAAAAAGAAATATCTTTCTGTGACATTTTAAGGTCTTCAGGGATCCCAAATCTGGATACAAATGTTGAAACTATTTTTTAATAGAAAGGGATTTAAAGATAAAAAAAGTTGGTCTTCCAGATGGCCCCTCATCTCAGCACCTTGTCATTTATGGGAACTGGGGGAAGATGGAGTCCTGACAGTGCTTTTTCTCCTCCTCTCTGACCTTGCCTTCCAGAATAATGAAATTGACAAGTGCCATCCTAGTGAACAGCCAGGGAATGTTACTTTCATTTTCCCAGAGGAAAATCAGTTTTTTTTTTCTCTCTCCCTTCTCTCTACTCCTTCCACCCTCCAAGAAAAACTGAAATTTTCTTGTGGGATAAATTTTGGTTTTATGCAGTTAACATTTTTTTTTATCAGCAAATCATTCTGACTGCTGGTCAAAATTTATATCTGAAACCAAAACTTTTTCCCTTAGAAAAATTACATTATACCAGATCTAATTAGGACAAGTCCCCCTCACCTCCCCTTAACAAATTGTGTAAATACATAACATTTGAAGACAAGTTGACAATGGATGGCTGTACTACAACATGAAAAATTAATCCAAAACCAGATTTGGAAACTTTTTTCTATTTAAGGGTATGTTACGAAGAAAAACCAAATCTACATATAAAAAACACAGGGCCCAAATACTAACCCATAATGTAGTAGTTTAAAGCCCAGGCGGTTGGATAGTTTTGAGAATAGGACTAGGAATGTTAGCAAACATTTATTTTTGTCAAAGTTTAACCCCACAGAGGCATTGGAGTAGGGAGGGGAGGAAAGGGCAGGCAGCTCTGCAGAGCTGACTTGTGCAGTGAGCCGGCACAGCTGCCCCTCTATCAGCTCTGTGGGAGGCAGCAGTTGGGGGTGAAAACGGGGAGATGACTTCACAGGATCCAGTGCTCCCCTGGAGCACAAGCTTCCACCTGCTCCCTCCCTCTGCACTGCTCCTCATAGGCATTGGCTCCTGTCTTCTTCCTCCCTTGCTGCCTCTGTAAGGCTGGGTGAGTGTAGTCTTTAGGATTAATTGATAAACCCTGAATTATCAGGTAATCGACTACACTAATATCCCTAAATTGGACTAAATTATCTATCTGTCATTTTTCTCATAAACTAATGAAATTGTTGCAAACAAATGAGATGTAGAGCAAAATTGTGGATTGTTACCTCTGATATCTCAATGGTCTAGGACTCTTAGCATGGCAAAGATATGCCTTGCCTTATTGCAGATATACATCACACTGGGTATAATTCATAAAGTCAAAATGGTTGAGAACTTAAAAATTTGACTGTAACAGATTGCAAAATTCAGTGATTCAACCTATTGCTATTCTGAACAAGGAGCTTTCACTCATTACTTCATACTATCTTAATCTACACTACAGAGTTTTTGCGCAAGAAGCTTTTTGCAGAAGCTTTTTTTTTTTAAAAGAGTTGAGAGGTAGAGAGTTGAGTAGTTACGAACATGAATTTAAAGTTGTAACTTGCTAATCTAAATTTACATAATTTTCAGGGTTTTGAACTAACTGTCCGAACTCTAATTATAGGTAATGACATTTAACCCAGAGGCAAAAAACCTGACTACTTAGTCAGGGACTTCAGTTGGCCACGCAGTTCTAACTTTCTGGTTATATGCTGCACAAAGGAATTTATTTTATATTGCAATATTTTAATATATTACAAATGGGAAAGCTTTTATCAGGTACTCTTTTTTTATATTTGAGAGGAATACTATAAATATTCCATATATAACTTTGCAGCTGAAAAAATGTTCAGCGGTAACTTGCCAATTGAAAGGAAATATTGGATGATGACATACAAATGCTGCCGCATATCTTATCTTACCTTTATTCAGAACTTTCCCCACTTAAAGTAATTCTAAAGTTTTGTAAATGTAAAGTAGTTTATATTTAACAGCTGTAGAGAGACACTGTAGTTTTGAATGATTCAGCATCTCTTAGAAAATGCATATTCTTACATGTGTTTATTTTATGCAATATCAGATTTTTCAAAATTTTGAATGTCACGAGTGCTACAAACAGTTGAGTAAATTACTTTGATGTTGCGTAATTATGTGAAATATAACAATAGAGCATTTCCTTACATTTTTTCCTCTCCTCAGAGGTGAAATGATGTTAAACAGTGCCTAGTACTTGAACAAAGTTTCCAAAAGAACAAGTTTGTTAAAAATATAGGGTCTTTAGCATATTTATTAAAGTAGTACTCAGTTAGATTTGTGTAGGAATTTGGTCTACTTCTAATGTGGAGTGCCTGTCACATAAATCTTAGTCCTAAAAGTGTTCTTGGTCTCTTCTTTCTTTAAAACAACCTCCCCTCCCCTCCCCCCAAAAAAGCACAAGAATATAAAAGCTCTTCCTTTGGTGTTGAATTGGAGTGAATTAACATCCATCACTAATTCTAGTGAAGATGGGGGAGAGGGGATTACTGCAGGCTAACAAGGCAACCATATTTATGCTTTGGATTTTATTCTATTGTAGAATGCATTCCTAAGTCTAATTTTAGCAAGAGAAAAAGCTAATGTACAGAAAACTTGTTCACTGAACCGTCTCTAACGGACCATCTTTTTCCTTTCAGTGTGCATTGCAGCAAGAACTCTTGCTATTAAGTGCTTGTTTGGAAAAAGTATGA